TTTTTTATTTCAGGTAGGAGAAAAACTGCCTGAGAAACATTCATGGAATGACTGATTTAAATGTTATAAATCCCCGAGTTTGAACGGAATGCCAAAGGGGATTAAAGACTAAAGACATATCACAAACAAATTTACATTATTAAAATTACTGTAATCAAGAGTCTTTTCTAGCCTTAATCAGGATTAGTGAAAACAAAAACCCCCCAACTTTTCTACTGTGCAATACTAATCAAAATTCTATCAAATGACAGATAACAGAGTAAAAGCAGTTTTGAAAATTAAAAATACTGGTTGGTGTAGCCTAGCACTCTTTAGAAATGTTTTCACCCGTTCGGGATCAGAGCAATGATTTCTCTGCTGCTAATTCACATGGCAGGCAACAAGCACAGGGAAAAATAAATTCCAGTAACGCCGCAAAGTCCGACCTGTTATTTTCAGGAGTTCACTTGTTTGAACACGTGCCATAGAGGCAGGAGGGAGAAGCGCAGTGTGGAATGCTTGGGTTTGGTCTCCTAAATCGTAAGCTAAATAACCCGAGTTGGGGAAAACTCAACTAGGAACCTGCCGTACGTGAGACCTCAGCCTTGCGGGGCAGGCACCGGCACTCCCTCGCGGCTGAGCTGGCAATAAGCAGGTTTGCTCGGAAGAACCGTGAAAGCTTTTAAGCGAGGTCTTTATCCACCGTGCCCTATGCTTTACAGTGATGCTACAAGGCTAATACAGTAAAGGGATAAAGCTTGTAGAGATTTTTCTGGTCCTCTGGAACCTCGTAAAGAAGGCAGCATTACGTTGGTTTCAGGAACCGCTGCTGTGCTCTGGAGCACCAGGCCCCATCTTTCTGCCCCCAGTATCACCAGAAATGCCACTAATTAGTAAAGCAGCAGCAGGATTAGACCCCTACGCCCGTTTCACCCTTGTAAAATGTCAACCGCTATTTTAGAATGGAAATTATAGAAATGTGCATGTAAAGAACAATCCCGAAAAACGACCTGAGAACAACGACCCGTCACTTTCTGAAGTCTCAGGAACAAGCTCAGCGATATTCAGGTATTGGGACAGTATGTCAGAAAATCAGCTCTATGGGTTAACGAGCAAGGAAAACTGCACGATTCTCATGGCTTCTTTCTAGGAGCTCCAACTGACTTCACTTTTTGCTGGTGTCTGAAGTAGACAGCCACCTCCCAGGCCCTCCATCTTCAAACCTGTTGCTTCCCTGTATTTGGTTAAACAAGATTTTAACTTTGCAAGCTGAAGACTGCTAATGTTAAATCTTGACGGCTGCAGTGCAAACTGAACAGCAGTTTCCAACTCCCCGTTAGCAAGGTTACACCGCTTAGTAAAGCATTAGTTTAGGTTAGTGACTAGAATTACACGGCTTAAAAAAGCAACAGCCAGTGGAGCAGCATCTCCTCTTTGTGTCTCTTCCTAATGACGCCTCATGCTGATCGTTCTTGAAGTTCAAAGAAAAACTAAATGAGGTTAGAAAACAATATATTATCTTTAATTAAAAGCTGGCATTATGTTTCTTCAAAGTATGAACATACCAGGATAATGAGTACATTAAGAGCACATGATCTGTATTTCAGTTCCATCTGAGCATACACCGTAAATCCTTCTTGGAAAAAAAAAAGTGGGCATCATAACGAGAACAGCCAAGCAGGAAAAAAAAAAAAAACCAAACCAAAAAACACGACCTTCAGCATTTTGAAGTCCTCCCTTCATATTGTCTGAAACACCAACTGACAGCAGACACTTAAAACCTTACATGGTACATGAAATAAGGTTGTTTTGTTTTGTTTTGTTTTTTTTTTCATATGCCAAAGAAGGGGAAAACCAAACGACAAGTTACGGGATCTCATCCCCAGGATAACCACGCACATTTGCAAGGTTAGCACCGACGCTTCACACACACAAGTGCAGTAATCAGACGCTAGTTTATCCCCTCCCAGCAAAATCATCTTTCCAGCAGTATTAGGCATTCCCTTGGCAGCGGTTTTCGCAGCAGCTCAGCACAAAGCGTAAATCACATCGGAACAGATGCCTTCCTGTCAACGGGAAGCGCAGAGGGCTCCGTGCGGGTTTCAACTCTGTAGGAGAAGAGTTAAAATCCGCCAAGTCCATGGTGGCTAGGAGCAACTCACGGGACTGAGCTTCCTGATTAACTGAGAAGTTACTCAACTTTGTTTTAGTTTAATTTGTTGCAGGAAAAGTTATGATTGGATTTCTTTTTACTTTCGAATTAAAACCCCCCTGTACTTTAAGGTCAATTTTAATAATGATTTACAAGTTCCTCTAGCATTGCTCTGATAAGCTCTACCTTTCTGGTTTTAACACCTAGCCTTTTAACAGTACTTAGATACTGGCGCTTGCTATTTTTTCTGTCAAAATTTTCTTTAATGCAGGTTTTATCTTCTGTATTTGAAATTCCACATTTAGCCTCCTGAGATCGTTTAATTCAAAGCGGGCTCTCAAAGAGCCTTCTGAATATTTCAAGGACTCTCAGGAGGTGGACTTTTAGGATTCTAGGTAGATACGGTAATATGGGCAAGCCTTTTATGCATGCAAATTGCAGGAGAAGAATTACAATAATCACTAAAAACCATTGCTCCAAAGATAGCTTGTCTTTAGGACTATAAAGACTTTTTCAGGCTCTGAAATTAGTGAGCCCCTTTTTTGGCTGTAATTCTTGGAGAAAGAAGCAAATATGTATTCCATTATTGTTAGCGCCTTTAACCAAACCAAACTCATATTTAATACTAAGCTGTGAAATACTTTATTCTCCAACTATTTTAGTTTTGGTGAAAAATGAACAGTTAAACTAATCTCCATTTAAATACTCCCAACTGCTCAATCTTCTATAATTTTAACCAGAAGTAATAAACATTTACTGAAAAATCACGATTCTCCATTAAAAGGAACTTTTTTTTCCAAATGTTATCTAGCAACAACTCAGTCTGCAAAATTTTAAATGACCTTTGCTGATTTGCAGTTTCCAGCCATTTTTGCTTCAGTAGTGGTTTTGGTCGGCTTTTGCTTCATCAGATGCCTTTTAAGAGTATTTTCAAGGTTTTCTTTTATGGAAAAAGGTACAACAGATAAACTGCTCTGTAAAACTATTCTGTAAAAAAAAAAAAAAAAGAAGAAATGAAGATATAAAAATGGAAATGAGCAGGAACCAGTTTTAAACATATGTCTTTATGAATGAAGCTTAATCACACACTTCGTTTTCCAAACACAAAAAGCCTTTTGGAATTGTATTAATTAAAATTAAGTGCCATAGACAAGCGGCTTTAGAGCGATGGCAGTCCTTTTCAAATTAGCATAACACTAGCGACAGGCATGGAAATTGGTTTAATAACCCTAAATAGTTACACCCCACTCCTAACACAAATGGCCATGGACAGCTCCAGCCCCTCAGGCTGCGACTGTACCAGTTTATGCGGTTGCTCTGACATCGGGTGGGTATTCCAATCAGAACAGAAACCACTGAATGCACCTCAATTATTATTATTATTATATAGTGACTAGTGAAGCATACAAGGCACCAAAGCGTTAAGCATCGTAAACCGGAAAACCAAAAGAAACCAACACAAGCGACATCAAAAACTCAGCCAGCGAGGGACTCACTTTGTAACTTGTACTAACACAGTCAATACTTGGCAAGAGATTATCAGTTTAGTCATGATATTAAATAGCCCAAACCCTGCACCTAGGTTGAGGGTCAAGTGTAGATAGAACAGAAAACCAAGGCACAGGGACAAGCAGAGCCTTCAAGCGATTTCCTTCCCTGCCATGTTTGACATGGGTGCCCTCGGAGCTGAGCTCGATGCTCCGATAACCCCTTTTATTAAACACCCCTTCCAGGGGCACAGCGTTCTCAGCAAGGGGCGAAACACACACGCTAAACCTCTACCTCCTGAACTCTCCATGTCAGGCATAAACAAAAATGTTTTGCGTGCCCACGATTCATGAGAAACGGGAGGAAAAAAAAAACCAGCCCCAAATCCCTGCTGCTAAGGAGGCTGAATGAGCACAAGCTTTTTCCGAGCACTCCAATCATTCACCTAACTTCACTACGCTGCTGCTCCTCCGCAAAGGACTGCCACGTCCGTCCCCGCTTCACCTTACCTCAGCCGGGGTTTTGCTGTGACTGCCAGCTGGTTTTAGAGACATGTAGGACAGAGAAAGTGGTTATTCATGTCTTTTATTTATTATAAATACATATAAATATGTTAAGTGACCTTTTGCTTTATCATGATGAGCAACGACTTTGGAAAATCATCTGGAAAACTTAACTGAGAAACAGGCAAAAAGCAAGCATTAGCATACAATCACAGGTTCCTCTCAGTTCAAGAACGGGTTAATTTTTTTTTTTTTTTAAAAGAGCCCAAAAAAAGCATCTTATTTTGAAGCATCTATTGTTTTATCAAGAGCACTGAACTCCCCCCCCCTCCCATGAGCTGACCAAATGCCATTTTCATTTGGGTTTGTGGGTGCAGTCCAACCCCAGCTGGCTACACAGGACCTCCTCCCCAACGATTCTGAAATATTGCATAGTTTTACAGCTGGATTTTTGCCTCCCCCCCTCCCCCCTTCTTTTAAGTCATTTTTAACATAGGTTGATCACGCCAAAGAAAACTCACTGAGGTTTCCATTTCCAGATCTCTCTCCCTCCCTGCTTTTGTTTTTTTTTTTCTATAGTTCAGTTTAAAAACTGCTCAAAAACTTTGTCGATCAGAGCAAGCGGAAAAGCAACATCATGCTCACAGTCCACTAACAGGCTGGGAAGGAAATAACTCTACAGATGAAGTTGCATGGGGGGGGGGGGGGAGTGAAAAAACAAAA